CCTCACAGAGGAAGCGAACCGCCTGCTGGGTGGACCCGGGCTGGTCCGACGCGCGATCCGGCAAGGGCCAGCTCAGCCCCAGGTGAGCCCCCAGGTCCCGGCCAACAGCCTCCGGCGTCAGGTTGCGCAACTCACGGTACTCTCCCTGGTTCCCGTGCGCCTCCCACACCGAGTCCACCGAGGGGAATCCCTCTAGCACCACACTTGTGCTTTTCAGCACTCGGCTGACCTCGTTCCGAAGGCGGAAGATCTGCTCGGTGTGGCGGCTCTGACCCTCCTCCAACGCCGCAATGCGGCGCTCCGTGGCTGCGCGGCGCTCAGCTGCCATTTCTCTGTCACACCCCTCACCGACACACGATCAAGCAGGGAGAGAAGCTGCCGCCGGACGGGCACCCACCCCCGCCCGCGCCCGCCCCCGGCCGACCCCGCCGCCCAGACGACCCGGACGACGAAGACGACGACGACGACCCCGACAACACCCGCGACGACGACGACGACCACGACGACGACAACGACGACGACCACGGCAGCGCCGCCGAACCAGGGGCACCGCAGGAGGAGGGCGGTCATGACCCTTCCGGCGAGAGCCGGTTCCGCCGGGCGGGGGCCTTGAGCAGCTGGTCGGGGCGGCGAGCAACAATTCACGTGACTGCGTACATCATGGCTCGAGCGGGGGCGGGGGGAGGGGAGGGGGGGGGGGGGGGTCTTCCTCCTTTTTTTTTTTTCTCCTAGCTGCGCACAAGAAACAGTATACGTCACGTCAGAGGGAGTAAGAAAAGAAAAAGGCAAGCAAACGCACGCCGGCAACGACGCGAGGGAGTCGAGGGGGGAAGAATCGCAGCCGAGCAACAGCAAGGGGGGGCAAGGCGAGGAGGCGGCCGGCGGCCATTGGACCTATACTCCTGCCCCCCTGCAGTGGGGCCTGGGGGCGGCCGGAAGTGAGTTCGTGACTCACTTTAGCACAACCATGAACAGGGCAAGCCCTGTCCTGGCCGCCCCCGATGCATCGGGACGTGCCCGGCATCATCTCGTGACAGATCGCCTCGTGGGCGCTGCCGGCAGCTGCAGGTTGTGAACTCCCAGATAGCAAGCACACTGTGGTAAGGTCCAATGACCGCCCGCCACCCCCCACCCGCCCTCCCACCCCCCTAGACCGCTATTTCCTACACGAAACAAGATCTGATTATCCGGCTCCCGCCGGGCGTCTCCGGGCAATACCAGCGAGACGAATCGCCGCCTTGGCCTGGGCGTTCGCCCCGCGCGCCTTACCTGCAACCCTGGCCGTAACAGCCTTGGCCGGGGCGGCCTTGACCGGCGGGCCCGCCTTTCCCTTGGCCCCCACGTGCGGTTTCGGTTTCGGCTTGGCTTTCGCCTTCGCTTTAGCTGCACCTGGCCCGGGGGGCGGGGGCGGCGCCGGTGCCGCCGCCGCCGCGACCGCAACGGCCTGGGCCTTTGCTTTCGCTGCAGCGTCCCCACGACACCATTTCTCGTGGTTACCTAAAGGGCGACACAGCATTCCTGGGGGAGGCGGTGGGTAGACTAAGCCACACTTCGAGCATGTCCGGTTCATAATGTCACTCCCCCTGCATTTGGATTCGTGTGCCTTGCGACACCCCTCTTTCACATATGTGAGGCACTTACGACATTTCGTCATTCCGGCCGGTATGGCATAACCCGCTACCGTGCACCTCGTGATGTGCCCGTACAGATCCTTGCTAAGCACCTTTATGCCGCATTTCTTGCAATAATCCACCTCGTTCCATTGCAACTCGGCCACCTGAGGTGGGGTCGCCATCCACCGGGCCGATTGGCGAGAAGCATACCCGCGCCTCCCTAGATCCGCCGCCCTGTCTGCCAGCTCGTTGTCATGGGCGCCTGTGTGCCCATACACATGTTCCCAAGTTAGACTGCGTCTCTCCAATGCCCGCGCTGTGAGCTCTTGTACGGCGTCCGCAAGCTCCTCGTTTGATTTCACCTCCCATGACCCCCGCGCTATGTTCGCTGCGTATTCCGAATCATACCGAATGTGCACGGGTACGTGGCCTCCGTCTGGTGCTTCATCCAAGAGCCACTTCATGAGTTCATCCAAGAGCCACTTCATGAGCTGCCTGAGCGGCCACAGTCGCAGTGAAAATCACTCTCTTTCAGCGAAGGATGCCGCTGAAAGACCGCCTCTGGGCACTTGAAATCGGCGCCCGAGGCTTGAAAATCATCAATCCTGATGGTGCGATGCCCACTGGGTAGACGATTCATGCCTACCTTGACTCCTAAACGCTTGAGGTCCATGGTGTTTTCTTCCAAATCGATCTTGGACCCCAGCATTTCTTGAAATCCTACTGGGAGGAGAGGCGGGATGTCCTCCTGAAGGACTTCTAGCTCGATGATTCCGGACTTTCCCTGGATCCCCGTGGGAATGAGGGCTGCGTGAAGCACCCTCGTGCCTCCGCCCACTCCCCGAGCTGACGGGTCCCGAGGAGCCACGAGAGGGACCCTGAGGCCCTTTCTCCTCAAAACTTCTACATGCTGGCTCAGAGAAAGCTTTCCGATCAGACCTTGTCCTGCCGCGGTGTCCACCACCGCCTCCCCGGGCGGGACGGTGAGAAGCACCAGCTCGTCCTGCTGCTGTCGCTCCTGGCCGCTGGACACGTCCTCCGGGGCGTTGGGGTCGACCACGTTTGCGTGCACGTAGCCGGTGACGAAAGACGCCGTCCCTCCCCCGGTTGCACTGGCGCTGTGGCTCTGGCCGTTCCGGTCTGGACATTCGCGTGACCAGTGGCCCTTCTTGCCGCAAGACCTGCACTTGGTCCTCTTGATCAGCTCCGCGAGAGGTAGTCGATTGCGTCTGGGTCGATGCTCTCCTTTCGCCGAGCGATGTCCCTTGTTGAACTTGCTCTTGTCGCCGATCTTGATGTCGTTCTCTTTCGAGCGGTCGCAGAACTTACGATCCACTTTGAGCTTCCTCTTCAAGTCGCGGTTCTGCTTCCATGTCTTGCGCCTGTCCTCTTGCATGGTGTTGAACACGTACTTGAGCTCGTCGTCGTACAGGTCCATCTTGTCCAGCGCTACATATATCTCTGCCTCACCCTCAGTGTCCAAAGAGGATACGTCGTCCCAGTCGAGTAGAGAGTCCGCGTCCTGGTCGTCAGCGGAGTTGGGCTCATGAACAGGGAAACTTGATTTGACGACCTCCGACTGCTCGACGTGGTAGGCTCGAGATCGGTGATTGCTGAGATGTTCCCGCCTGGTCACGTCCATCTCTCGGATGGCTGCCAAAGCTTCTTTGTAGGAATCCTTTGTCTTCATCTGAATCTTCATCAACTGAGTACCTCTCTCGTCCAGTCCAGCTCCCTCTTCCAAGAACATATATTTCCAATCATCTGGTAGAGGAAGCCCGAGGGTACCGACCTTGTCGAAAGCCAGGTCCAACCTCGCTGCGTACTCAGTGAGTCCTTCTCCTTGCTTGCGTTGAAACGAAAACAAGCATTCACGTCCTGCTTTACGCTTCTCGTCTCCGACTCGTTCTCCCGAGAGCAGATCCAGCCTGGCTATGACCTTGTCTGCTCCATTGTCTGATATCAGATCCTCGTCGGTGATGTCTTCCAGCTTCCGCTGCAAGTCGATCGGCAGCAGCTTCATGATGCGGTCCGCGTGCTTATGTGTCTCCACATCTGTCGTCTGCCGCCATCGCATCACCTTCCGCCGCCATAGCTTGAACTCTGACCAGCCGGGCCACGCCTCAGGATCTGCGAAGTCCCTCCCGCGCCTCTCGTCGGTCTTCCACTTCTCGGTCCCCGACGCCTCGCCCCACTTGCTGCCGTTCCAGTCACGGCTCTGCCAGTAGTTCGTCTGCCATTCGTTCGACGTGTCTCTCCAGCTGTCGAACCTGTCCTGCCAACCGTTGGAGTGATCCTTCCAGCTGGCGTACTTGTCTGTCCAGCTGCTTGAAGCCTGGCTCCACGGATCTTGTCCGTCTGGCTGCCATGGATCTCGTTCCCCTCTTGGAGCTGGACTGGCGACAGCTGTGTCGCCTACTTTGCTCCAACGTGCCGACGAGTTCCATGACAACTGGTCGTCCCGTTCGTCTCCTTGGCCATTCTTGGTGTTGTCCGCGTCCGCCGTGGCCTTTGAGCTTGCGCCCTGACCGGCACTCGACGCTTCTGTCACCATGAGACTCCTGGCCTGCTCTAGGAACGTACGCATTTGTTCCGCCGTGATGCGGAACTGTCCGTCCTCGTTCTGCCACTGTTGCGCGATCTCTATGACCTGCTCGATAGACTCCTGGCCACTGCTCCGAGTGCCGCCATTCGAGTTGTCACCAGTCTCCGCTTCCGCCATGTTGTCCGCAGATCGACCGAAGCGTCCTCAGACGCTCCGCTACCACTGTTCCCTGGACGATGACGGTGACGAAGTACGTGGTGCTCTTTCCTGGCTGAACCCTGACTCGGCAACCTCCCAGTCGTCCGTCTATCAGCACGGTGACCCTCCAGGTGTATACAGGAAGGGAAAAGGGGATTATGGGGAAGGTATGGGAATGGGTCGGATCGGGCTTAGTGAAGAGAGAAAAGGACTTGAGCCAGAGTGGTTATGGTCCGGTCCCCTCATCTGTAAACACTCTCAAGCTCAAGGACTTTGTGAACTCACCAAAGTCATACGCCAGAGGCACTCAAACGCACACTTCGTCCTCGTACTCTTCCTTCCTTCTCCTCCCTCCCCCTCCTCTGGTTCCCCTGCCCCCCCCCCTCCTCCTTCTGCTCTCCCTCTCCCCCTTCCTTCTCCTCCTCCTCATCCTCACCATAATCCACCTCCTCCTCCTTCTCCTGCTCCACCTGCTCCTCATCTTCCTCCTCCTCTTTCGACGACATGTTCCTCCTTCCCCCTGGTCTCCTGCTCTCCTCCGCCTGCTCCTCCTGCCCCTCCTCCTCCTCCTCCTCCTCCTCCTCCTGATCCTCTAGTTGTTATCCTTCTCTCGTCCTCCCCCCTCCGGAGGAGTCTGTGATGAC